TAGAAAATATAGTATTCTCTCCATCACATCTACTCAAAATCCCTTATATTATGGGACGGAGAGAGTAGCATATACCGCTACAAGTGATTTTGAACCACACCCATTATCGTAGCCCTTTAATAGTTGGATTCACTATAACTGATTTTGTAAGCCGGTTTCCATGGATACATACCAATAAAGACTTCTACGAGTACTCCTTTTCCACCTTGCATTGGAATGTGACATTACCTTGATCGCATGAAAGAAAGAATTGTTCAAGGTAAGTGAGAAGAAAGAGATAAAAGGAAGAATCATATGAAAGAATACAAAAAGAAACACACATCATCAATAGACCTTTGAGATCGAGCCACATGTACATGAGTAGTAGTTGGTACATATATGATAGTCTCGATCGTACACCTGAAATGGAAAATGTGCATAGAGTAGTGCTTTTCACTCAAGGTTCTAATTATCAAACTATCAAAGATACCCAAATCGATCGGTTGAATATTGGGAGAAGGATCTAGCTAGCATTTCTAGCTGCTACCTAAAGAAATGAGTGAGAGGAAGAAAGCTGTGGCAGGACCAGAGAAATTTCAATGAGTTGGAGAGAAGCAAACTACTTGGTCATCATGGCTTGCTTGAATATGGTACTAGGTATCCCAAGAAATTAGTGCTGAATTATCAAGCTCATTTGCTCCATACTCAAGCTAGCACATGAAGTAGTTCGATTGATGTATATATAATATCAGCTGTTTAATTATCTTATTATTAGTTTTGTAGACTTAATCTGATCTGTTTTGGGAATATTTCTCTCAAACATCTAGCTATAGCTAGGCTCCCTTTAATTTTGGAACAGTCATTGACGATTGATCTTACAGCTTAGAAGTTCGGATTCCTTTGTTATTAATGCAGAAATTTAAAAACATGGAGATAGAAAAAAATGCAATATAGAAATGCTATGATTTGTCGAACCATATAGGAAATTAAACTATATAAAATGGTTCAAAACAGGTATTTGATTTGTATGTCCCACATGGAAAATGCATGAAACTTTTACTTAGAACTTTTACTATAATTATTTCTCGAGTAAATTTCACATTACACCATATATTTTGACCAAAGTTTTACAATGGGCAACGGCCAAACCAACCTTTTCACTTAACACCACATATCTTTGCATTAGTTGGCACTTTGGACTAGGGTTGAGCACATTAATGAAAGTTGTCAAAGAAAAGCTAGTTCAAATCATCATTTTTAGTTCCATAGTATTAAAATAAATATATTTAGAAAGAAATAGCAAATCACAAAACAACTTTTTTCAGCAAATCACACTAAAATAATGATGTGAACATGTTTAAAAGTGGCACAAAATGATCTATACATAGGGGCAAATGAATAAAAATAAAATAGAAAATAGTTAATTACCACTCACACTGAAAAGAAGGAAGAAAACATAAATGTTTTGCCTTTTATAATTATCCCTGTGTAAATCATATGAATTTTTCTCACATTCCCTTGATTTGCTCACCCCTAGTCCAAACTGAAAACTTATGTAAAGATGTATGGTGTTAAGTGAAAACATTGATTTAACCCTAGTCCATTATGAAATCTTGGTCAAAATATGTGGCCCAATGTGAAATTTACTCTTATTTCTCCAATTATATATGAACCTTAAGTTACAATCCAAATGGCTTACACAAGAATATTCCGTTTGGATTGTTAATTCATGGGCTCTAGCTATTAAGCTAATAGCTACAATATAAAATGCATGGGCTCTTGAATTGTTAATTCGAACTGCTGTTTTTTTAACAAACCTCCTACCCATAAGTTTACTTTTTTACAAAAGCATAAAAATAATATTTCAGGGGCTAATAATATCCACTAAGAGAACTAGGGGCAAATAAAGGACTGGAACAACTTTCAGGGGTAAATAAGGATTTTGTCCTTTATATTTTGATATTATATTTTTAATCACATATATATATATTCTTACTAATAAAGGGATGAGGCCTCATTAGAGGTTTTAATTTAACCTTTCATGCAGGAGCATAAAAAAAAACTACCTTCCACAAGGTCTTGGAGAAATAAAATTACAGGGTTAATTTACAGAGTGAGAGAGAGGAGATATACTTTGTACAGTTAATTAATATAAATAGCGAATTAAGATATCAAGCTGGATTGAAATGGCCATCTTGGTTGCAGCGATCAATCATATCGACCACCATGGATCATCTCAAGTTAACAATTCCAATGCATGCATGCACTGTCAGTTAGTTAGGCTCGAGCATATATCTGCATGCCTTTCCCTTGTTTCATCTTCTTGTCGTGAAATGTGATCTCTTGCATGCTCACTACTTCCTCCGTTTCACAATATAAGTCATTCTATCATTTCTCACATTCATATTGATGTTAATGAATCTAGATATATATATCTATGTAGATTTATTAACATAAATATGAATATAGGAAATGCTAGAATGACTTACATTGTGAAACGGAGGGAGTAGCTTTCTTGGTTCTTGCAATGGCGCCTTCCTTTTTACCGGCTCAAATAATAATTAACCACCTTTCACGTCGAAGCTTTCATCTCTATCTCCAGCTAGCTAGCTAGCTAGCTATTCGTCCGCTCAAAAATATATTTTGGGAGAGTATTAGTTTTAGCGGAAATTAAAGTTGAGATGAAAATTCATTGTGATTAGCTGAGCTAAAAAAATGGAAAAAAATAAATAAGAGATGGTTATGATTGTTTAATACGAGAAAGTAGATGAAGAAATGCTTACATCACGATACGGTTATATTTTAAATTAAAAAAATATATTTTGGAACAGAGAAAGTAGGCAGCAAACAGAAGCAGGAACTTACTCATGCCGCACTCACAGCATGCATATACAGCTATTCCATCACAGCAACAGCATATGCAGCTAGCTAGTATGCATTTCATTCAGTCTTCATCTATCACTCACACTCACAGCAGCATCTAGCACAGGCACAGCACAACATGCACTTGTAATCCTAGCAATTCCATTCATTTTTCTCCTCTATCTCTCCCTGATCGATGTGCTACAACTGCTGCAGCCTGCAGGCAGGCAGGCAGGCATGTATGGGTGGTAGTGGTAGAAATGCTGTATTCATGTATAGCTGCTGCTGCGGCTACTGTTTGATATATAGGGCACGTCACAAGCTTGTACTATACCTGAATTGCATGCTGGGTAAATAGGGTGCAGGGAGCATTCCAATCGTTCATTCATTCTTTCCTTTCTCATTTTTCAGATTTCTCTGCATATGCTGCATGCATATGCGCCTTTCAGTCACAACGAGGTTCATTCGAATTCATTCTTTCTAGCTCTTTTTCTTTGTCTCTATCTTTCTATCCATGTCCTTTGATTATGATAAAAATAAAATAATCAATTTAACAAGACAAATTTGGTACTAGTTGATGTCCCATGCTTTACTGCGGAATACTTACATGATGTACTAATTAAATATCATATAAATGGTGGATTGATATATGTTAATTCCTCTGTCCTATTTTAAGTGCAACTATAAGTTTCCGTGTCTAACTTTGATCGTCTGTCTTATTTAAAATTTTTTTATAATTAGTATTTTTATTGTTATGAGATGATAAAACATGAACAGTTTTTTACTCGTGACTTATGTTTTAAAATTTTTTCAAATATGATCAAAGTTGTGGGCGGAAAACCATAGTTACACTTAAAATGAGATAGAGGGAGTACAATATTGTGAAAATGATGTTGGATAATGATTTGACATGATTACATGTAAGCTAGCTATAGAAATAATAAACTACAATATGGGGCGGATGGAGTAATTGCTAGTAGGTGATGATGTGTCATATTTGTATGAGATTTAGGAGATAATTAATAATTACTAGTGGTTTCTAACTATATATATATATATATATATATATATATAGAGAGAGAGAGAGAGAGAGATAGATAGAAAGTATAAATTTTGTAGTCATTGGTAATGTATCATGAAAAAAATAATGATCAAAGTATAATACTGAAGACCATATGGAAACTAATACACATTACATTTTTAGACGAAGATAGTATAATTTATTCGTATTTTGTTCATATTGTTTATTTACGTATCTTACATAAAATATTAAGAGAAAACTTACAAGCATGGCCCTCTCAATTCATTCAGTTGAAGCGGATCCATAGCCGACAGAGATGCATTGCTAAAATAATGTACAGTTAGTCATAAATAAGAGAACAATTAGCCGTAAATAAGAGGCGTATATATGTATCAAATCTAGAATTTAAACCTAAGTAAGCAACCAACTGGATTGCGTTCACTTCACAAGTCGATAACTTGTTAATTGCATGCAAGGTAATAAATAGCGTATAGCGGGTTGTTAGCGGATCAGTATCTGTGTAGCGGATTGCGGATAGTGAACGCTAAGTTCTAATAGCAAATATAAGAAAATAACCATAAATATATCAATATTAACATCAATTTCACATAAAAATAGAATTTATAATACATTTTTAATTACTCCTATATTTCATAACATAAAAAATATGAAATGACATATAGATATATAAGATAAATAAGATAAACAATGTAAAGTTCTACAATCCACATATATACTAAGAACAATATTTAAACGTTATAACGGTCGAACAAAGTCAATAGCGAGTTGTTATACCTGCTATAGCGGTAGTGAAGCGCTATAGCGGGCGCTAAGTTACAACATGCTACCTTGTAGCGGTAGCGGTACAGCTCCACTACCACTATAGCGGTCACTATTGTGGATGTTACGAATACTATTTACTACCTTAATTGCAGGTATAAAAGAAAAGCTCGCGTCATGAGAGGTCCCTGAACCGGTCAATTCAATGGAATAAATCAATGGTGATCAATGAAATACTACTAGAGGACAGTGAGATGGATGCAGTGCACAGGCCGGAGGGGGGCGTCCATCCACAGTCAGATCCGTTAAGCTAGCATGTCACACTCCAACCGCTCTCTGTCTCCTCCCTTCTTATATGCCTTTCCCATTTCATGAAAGGCAGCTCAACCCTTTCATAGTTTCATCTCTCAATCTCTCTCTCTCTCTCTCTCTCAAACACACATAATATTCCCCTTTCTCTCTCTAGGCATTATTCCTCTGATTTCTTTTACTGCCTCTTCTCTCTCTAACCTTATTCCCCCCTACCTGGACACTGTAATGCTCTCTCTCTCTCTCTAACCTTATAGTAGTAGCATCAAGCTTTCTCTCTCTCTCTAGAGGCCTTTCCTTTCTCATCTCTCTAGTTCTCTAGAACACACACACACACAAACCCCCATACAAAAATGATATGCTACTCATGACCTAATCACCCAATTCCCACTACCTCTCTTCTCCTCTCCTTCTTCTCCTCCTCCTTTTCTTGGAACCAAACAACAACAACAAACTTACTCTCCCACACTTAGCTAGCTCACACACCACCATTGTTGGCTAGCTAGCTAAGCTTTTAATTTGTTGAAGCAATGAGCACAACTACTGCTACTACTACTCCTCAGCCTTCTTCTTCCTCCTCTGACGAAGCTGCCATGGCGCCCGATCTCTCCCTCCACATCAGCCCACCGTCGCCGGCGCCCGCCACCGAGCCGAGGCTGGAGCTGGGGCTCGCCGACGACACGGCGGTGGCGGCGGCGAAGACGACGACGGACGATGAGCGGCGGCGACAGCCGCACCAGCCGATCCAGACGGCGCATGGGTTCAAGAAGAGCTCCGGCTCCGGCGGCGGTGGGAAGAGGAGCGCGAGGGCTCCGAGGATGCGGTGGACGACGGCGCTGCACGCGCACTTTGTGCATGCGGTGGAGCTTCTTGGCGGCCATGAGAGTATGTTCATGCTAGCACCCCACAACAACAACAACAAAAAAAAGAAGAAAAAACTTACTAATTATTACATGTATATATATGTGTCTACATGCATACATGGATATTCATACACATGTATATATGGGGATGTATTGAGTTTTGATCATTGGTTTTACATGTGAATTCTTTTTTTTGGGGGGGAGGGGGGTTGATCATGGTGATCTTTGCAGTAGTCTTTGTCTTGTATTTTCTGGAGTTCTTGGAGTTCTCTTTTGTTGTTTCATGAAGTGTTCCTTATTCTGAAGGAATAAAATGTTCCATGAGCAATTGGACTAATTGTATATGTATTATCGCATGATCAGATTCTTGCCATGCATTTGGCGTTAGTGTGTTTCTTTTTTTGTGTTTTCCCACACCTTCTGTTTGGTTTCTTTCAGAGGACACATTTTCAAGATGAGGAAACTGTACAATGTAGACAACACCCCACTTTTACTAACTGTTAAAGTTTGATTAATTAAATAAACAACAAATCTAAGTAGCATATGTTTTTTCCCTTGTTAGTTAAAGCTGCAACTATATATTGGTATTTGGGAGGAATTATACGATTGAGTGGCTTATTAATTAGCTCTTTACTACTTTGCTGCTTATTAGCTGTATGCTTTTCTTAATTAAAGAAGGTTTCATTGTCTGTTTACACCAACTAATTTATCAGTAAATGGCCTTTAATTAAGTAGCAGCAAGCTTGTGATCTTTCTACTATATATATATATATATTTGATTTCCATCCATGCATGTGGATGTTCTTGGTTCTGAAACTCTCTTGATTTGTTTTTTGTTATATCTTCTAGGAGCAACACCAAAGTCAGTCTTGGAACTGATGAACGTGAAGGATCTTACTCTGGCTCATGTTAAGAGCCATCTGCAGGCAAGTTACTAGAGAGGCTTCTCCTAATCTTTCACCTGGATATATGTATATGCTATCTCTAGTCCTAGACGCCTAGCTCCACACAAACATTAACTAATTTCACTCTGCTTATTGATTTTTTTATCGCTCAAAAACAAAAGGATGTAACTAAGCTTAGCAGCATGTTCAATAGAAGATTAATTTAATAATTGTTAATTATTTGTGAGCTGATAGTTGATACCAAGTACCACTTGTCCTTACATATGTACACCTATATGATATATTAGTTAATCTAGTTATATATATTTTCTAAGACTAGCTAGGGCCAAATGGAAAAGAACACTGAGGAGACATGTCAATCTGAAATCTTTCCCCTTTCTTATCCTTTTCCACTTTCTTTCTTGCAGATGTATAGAACTGTGAAGGGCACAGACAGATCATGTGTTGCAGGTAAATATATATATTGCCTAGATGTCTTAATATTTTGATCCTTTTGGAATACCATGCATGGCCTGAACTGATTCATGGTCATGTCACACACAGTGAAGAATTATTGGCATGGGGTGTGTATGTGACATTGCTCCTAGACTGTGTGTGCCCCATAAAGCACAGCCATGGGGATAGCTTGTACCTTAGTGTGAAGTGCATCCATATTACTAACACATATGTTTGTATTTTGCAAATGTGATGAGACATATGCATATGTATGGTGTGTGTGTGTTTGTTGCAGGCCATGGCCAGGCCAGCAGAAAGATGGGCTTCCTGATGAGAAGAGGTCTTGTTGCTGAAGTGGATAGCTTTGATGGATTCAACAACAACAACATGGTCAACACTACTTCCAACAATACTACTTCTAGGTATGTACATACATTAATTAATTTGTGATCAGACTGGATCTAGTACTTATACATATTAGCATTGATGAATTATGCTTTCATATATATGCATGTCCGGATCTTTCTGTCTGCAAGTCTGCAAACTTTGCTGCATTTGGAGGGTTTATACTTATGGATGAGTTGTATATATATGCATGTATTGTACATCATTAATTGCCTTATTCTACACTCCTACATGTGGAAGCATACCTTGTTGTGTGATATAGGGATATGGGAGGAAATTAAATTGTGATGGCAGGATCTAGAGGAATTTGACCACATTATTTTAGTAGGTGTGGTCAGTTTGGACTATATATATGTGATCCCTAGACTCCAGCTGTACTGCTGTCCTTAATTTAGTCTAAGGTTCTGGATTTTAATAGAGTATAAATGAGTAGTAGTTAATTCTACCTCCAAGCAAAGGGAATGTATAAGCATCATGTGTGCTTTGAAAAATCTTAGAAGTGTACCGTGAATAATACTCAGTGTGTAGCATCAGTTTGGACTTTGTGGTTATTCAATTTGTTGCTTGTTTTTGTTTCAAGTTGGAGAGTTTCAATTTATAAAATTCCCAATTCTATAAGTTTTTGGAATTTTGACTGTTCTTTTTTAATTTATTTAAATATATAGGCAAGATAATAACAGCTGCAATCTTGTTAATAGAATTAATACTATATATTGTCTTGTTGCATATGAGTAAAGTACCTCGGAATATCTCTTCTTGACATAAAGTTATGGAATAGTTTGTCTCGCGAATTTAACAGTAGGATGTTACAGAAGTTCTCAGCCATCTGAAAAGGTCTTACATACATGCCTGCGCTAAATTGCAACATATATTCAGAGCAATGCATGGCAGTTAATTTGATGTAAATTGCAACATTTCAAAAGCAATATGACAGATTTTGATGTCTGCATACTTCTTGATTGGGATCCCTATTAGCTATAGCAATGCAGCCTTTTCCTGCCCTTCCATCAGTTCTTTTCCATCTGAAATGAAATTGTTCATCATACTTTTAACTGCTAGTCATCAACTCATCAGCAACTATCTATCTTTATTTCTGCATCTACTACACATCTCTCTCATCAGAGAGCAAGCATGCATCCATCCATGCATGCCTAGGGTGACAGTTCTGCATGTCTGTGTCCTGTACTACCATTTGTACTGTGCTTCTTCAGATTTCAAACTCCCATGCAAATATATGCATGCAGAAAAAAACACTCATGCACAGTAGACACTAGCGAAAGGCAAAGACACTGACAGACTAGCTAATTAAGCAGGCAGGCAGCTCCAATCTCTTGTAAGAACAAAACTTGTGCATTGCATGCATGCATATATGCAGTATAGGATGATCCAGGTAGGGGACACAAATAAAATTAAACACTGTGCTACATAATACTGGTAGTACTGATCAAGGGGGGTCATGATGAACAGGGGGACTTTTTTCTCCTCCTCCAAACTTGCAGCTGCAGTACTGAATCTGCTGGTCACTATGCATGCATGCATGCATTTTTTTTCCTTACTCCCTCCCCCCAAATAAATCGATTCCTATAATTCAAACTTTGTTCCAAAATAAATTACCTGCCTTTGGTCCACGAATTGAGATTTTATCCTTCCTGTACTCTTTACCTATCCACCCACCGATACTAGCTAGTTTCCGATTAACTAGGGGCATTGTAGTCTTTTTTTCCTCATCACTAAATAGTCTCAAGATTTAAGAATTTGATTTATTTTGGGACAAAGAAAGGAGAGAGAGAGAGAGAGAGGTCCCTCCCATGGCCAGCAAAGCCAGTCCTCCTGTTGTGGGTTTTTGATCAGATCCATATCAATTGTCCCTCTGATGGCCCTATCAGGGGGGTTGCACAATTGTTGGTGGAATCTTGCATACAACAACTAGAACAAGACAAGGGCAACTTCATTGGCCTTGACCAGAGGAGAAAAAGGCTGCCCCTTAGCTTAAATAGTGGCAAGCATGGACAAGCCACTTGGCAGCAACTAGCACAGTTAGACTGATGTGGCCTTGGTTTCCAACAGCTCTGTCCATATACAAGCTAGCCAGTCCCTCCCCATTGATAGTGTCATTTCTAGCTGCTACCTAACTAAATAAACTTAGCTAGATTCCAATCACTTCATGGTTAAATTAAATTAATCATGTTAATAACTATCTTACTGGCATATTATCTTAGTAAATGCTCCCTTAGCTAGACTACCATTTCATGACAATGTGCTGCAATATTGCTACTCATGTAACTTGTTAACTATCTTAATGGCATCTTATCTTAATAGCAAATACTTAACTGGAGTACCATTTCCATGTCAAATGTGATGCTAATATTGCCAATGGTAACTAGTTAACTATCTTAATGGCATCTTATCTTAATTAGCAAATACTTAACTGAACCACCATTTCATGTCAAATGTGCTAGCTAATATTGCTAGTGGTAACTTTGTTAACTATTTTAATGGAATCTGATCTTATTAGCAAAAACTCCATTCACTAGACCAACCATTAATTTCATGTAAAATTTTCTACTAATTGATTGCTATGGGTAATTAACTAGTATAACTTGTTTAACTGACAAGATGAAGAATGCATCACATGCGCATTGATTTGTACTGCAGGAAGTCCCAGTCACCAGGAGAGCAGCAGCTGCAGGATCTTCAGAGCGGTTGGCCTCCTCATTACCTCGCATCATCTGAATCTGATCACCTCCTGATGGAGCAAAGGTTAATGCAGGTACTGCATATATATATACTGCCCATTTGAGCAATAAGTAACGCCCCATTTTGTTCATCAATTCAGTCGCAGATCAGAGCTGGGAGTTATTAATATTTCCCTGCCACAGATCTCGATGCATTAATATGGATCACGACCGCACATTTAATCTCTAGTATTGCAGTAGTACATCCAGCAGTATAGGACTACTGACCATCAGAGTTAAACTTGTTACTAGTCGTAGTAGTTGAATGCTGTAGTTACAGGAGCAGTATATCCTCTCTATACCTCTGAATATCTGATGATCTGATCCCTCTTGCATGCTTGGTGCAAAGAGGATATCTTAAATGTTGCTAATGCATGCTATCACTGCCACTGTGGCAGCTTCCCTTATAGCTTGTTAATTAAGTACAACCAGCTATAGCTCAATGTGATCAGTAAACCATATATTGATATATACTGGGTAGTAATTGTAATGCTTAACTACAATAATGCAAGCACAAAAGATAGCTAATGATAATCAGAAAGAAGCTAAGTCATTAGTTAATTTCACTCTGGGGAAAATTCAGTAGGGACTTCTCTACGCATCGGTTATTTGAAACGAACAGCATCAGACAACACGATATTTGGTGTTGTTCGTTTCAATATAATGATTCAGGGCCAAAATATACATAGAGAAGTTCCTACTGAATTTTCCCCTGAATCATCATTACACACAAAAGAAAGATACTAGCATTCACGAGCTCTGAATAAGATTTAATCATCCTACAAAACAAAAGGTAAATAACTCTGAAATTTCGGTAATTAAAGAAAGTTGATACAAGGCTTCAAGGAGACCTTCCTGTCCATCGTCTTCTCTCTAGCTCACACGTCCCAAGCTTAATTAGCTGATCAGATGCAAATTAAATGCTTGTGATTAGCTAATTTTATTACTATACGTGAACTGATCATCAGATAGATCTGAAATTGATCAATCTTATGTAAATAAAATGTATCTTTTTCAGGAGATATGGAAGGGTGCAGCAGCAGCAGCAGCACACGATCACCATGATCAAGAAGCAGCCACCGCCGCTGCTCTCCATCACGATCAGCACGTCCGCCGTCTCGACCACATCGTCGCCGGCCGGCCACCGCCGCCGCCGGCGTCGAGCAGCAGCGGCGGCGGCGGCGACACGATGGCCAGCTCCCTCGACTGGCTGCTGGCGTCGCGGCGGCAGGAGCAGCACAAGTACGGTGACCGCCACTACGACGACGACGACGGCGGCTACTACACGGCGGCTCACCGTGGTCAAGCTGCGGCGGCCATGTCGGCGGCGGCGGCGGCGGCGAGCGGCGTAGTGAAGGATCGTCGACCGAGCCTGGAGATGAGCCTGGGGAGGCAGGGGTGGGAGATCAGCATGGAGCAGCGAAGCAGCGTGGAGTACTCTTCCAAGGAGCTAACCCTCCTCAAGTGCTTGTGAAATTGAATTGATTGATTGGTTATAAATCTTATGGCTTTTCACTTAATTATTATTATTATTATTACTATTATTAGTGGTTGAATTAAATTAATGGTCAGTGTAGTGCAGTCAAGAACAAACGCGCGAGATAAAAATCACCAAAGCTTTTTGTGTAGTACTAGTAGGGTGCCCGTGCGTTGCTACAGGAAATTTTGATCACGGGAAAAAAAATTTGGCAATCCAAAAGAAACTACGAGTTGCGGCGGCCAGTTGTGTGCGGGCCGGCGGGTGGGCGGCGATTTTCACGTATTTTTTAAATTTTTTTTGCTCTTCGATTAAATCTTCATTGCCCAATCATTTTTCAAAGAAATCTAGTGATGGGATGCAATCTTCGAACTTACATTTTTTAGCACGGCATATCAATATTGACAAGGCAGGAAGAAAGTGACTCAAATTTTGAGCTATCATTGTGTTGTTATATTTTGATAGTATCTGTCCAGCCAGATGGTTTATATCGGGAACAAAGATCTTCCTATTAAACTTTGAGGAAAAACTTTTTAAGAAATTTTGCGATTAACAACTAACAAACGCTCAAATTCTATTATTTTGCAGAATCTGCCTCTAGTTGAGCTGGTCTCCGGCAGACATACAATCTCAAGGCAATAAGTATACATGTTGTAAATTAAAATTAAAATTTCTAGGTGTAACAAAATTATCACCCTTTTGTATCCTGAGGTTTATTCACATGCAAAGCACCGGAGTTCAATAAACCATGAAGATGCTTCTTTTTTTACTTTAAAAGTTGTTTCTAACCTAGCTATTAAGTTCAATATGTCACTATGGTCCTAAACTGATCAGTCCTGAAGTTGTTCTTTACACTCCAGCAATGCTTATAGATGTCTAGTTGATTACAACTTGATTTTTACTCCACAAATTTGGCATCCATGAAAATGTCCTCTCTAATTGAGCTATATTAATTGATCATTTGTAGTTGGGGATAGAAACTTTAGAAAAGTTGATTGAATACCCAGAATTTGTGGGGACTACACCCACATGCTTTGCAAATCAATTCTATCTGCTATAGTGTTTCCAAACATGTATTGTATATTTCCAAAGTACCAATAGAACAGTACCAATCAGACCAAATGACAAAATGAACCGTGAAAAAACTGATACTAAAACTAATTTACATAGAAAGGCTTCTTAGTTTTCAATCACAGAAAATGAATGCCTGTCTTAGTAATGCAAACTCCCTAATCATCTAATTTCACTGAAAGGTAGTTGGCATTGAAGTGGCATATGGCACAAAAGGCCAATCAGGATCATCAGAGGATGGCCTCCTGATTTACCTTGTTTGCATCCCAACAGTATACCAAAGGCATAGAACATATGGATCTCTGTCTATAGGCAAATCCCCCTATGTTATCCCTGTCAGCTGCTTCAAATAAAACAGCTATATCAGTCCTGTATTATGTGCCATTTTTGCACATGATTTAGCTGATTTTGGAGTTCTCCAGACAGTAAAATTTATAAACTTGACAAAGTAAGAAACCCCAGGCATCTGAAACTAAAACTAAATTATATACCATTATTAAGAAAGGAGGAATGTGATCACAAAACAAAACACAGAACAAGGAGGAATGCGATCAGTTTACCTAGAGCAACAGGCTAAGTTAGTGTCAGATGCGATGCAAAGGGCAAAGTTGAGAATTTTTTTTTAAAAGTAAAACTGCAAGAGCACTTTGTGTCACCTTGCTTTATATGGCTTCGTCTGAACTTTGGTCACCTAAATTGCACCGCATATGCACTTTTCTACACAATTAGGTTGAGCAAAAGCTTTCAGACCTAAACAAATCAGAAACTACACAAGTATTCACAAGCAGAGTTCAGTTGTTCAGTAATCTATCTCCAAGAGTCAGTTGTTCAGGTGTTGCAGTCCAAACCTTTTGCAATGATGAGAAATTTGATTAGTTGCATACATTATGATATAGTTATTGTACTTAAAGTCAACCATTCTCCTCAAATTTCATGCACTTTCACAGCTATTACCTGGCAACTTGACAGTCCTGAGAGAGAAGCTCGCAACCTGCAATCTATAATAAGCATCAGAAAATGGGATTGCAATTTGGCATTTCAAAGTTCACACTTATAGTATATATATACTCCCCCCATCTATCTTTGATCAGAATATAACTTTGTGACCAGTTGTATTGCCTGTGATTTCTGAAGGATGCAACAGAGCACTATATCACCCTCAATGGGATTTTTGGAGCAGAGAATACAGTCTGCCAAAAAGAGAAGAACAAAGACAAATTAGAAGAAAGGATGCAACAGAGCACTATATCACCTTCAATGGGATTTTAGGATAATACAGTCTGCCAAAAAGAGAAGAACAAAGACAAATTAGAAGAAAGGATGCAACAGAGCACTATATCACCTTCAATGGGATTTTTGGAGCAGAGAATACAGTCTGCCAAAAAGAAAAGAACAAAGACAAATTAGAACAAGATTGAATCCCCAAGCCAACACAATACACGTGAACTCTTGGTAGATGAAGAAACCGCTAAAAGTGGAAATTGTATCTCGTCGATGCAGCCATATCCAGGGGGAGCTCACGAATCCTACGGTGGCGGCGTCGAGAGGCGAGGCGGCAGGATGAGGAGGCGACACAATGGGGGAGTGATGGCTGAACAAATGCATAACAGCCATTGATAATTTAATATCAGGATTATTTACATTATGCTGGAGACGGCAATCGAATGACAAGTCCATTTATATAATAAATTTTGCGTCACACATGCACATAATCTGATTTCAATTATCTCACTGATGTATGCTATTAGTGGGAGAGAGGAAAATTAAGCTGCAAGTATATATAAGCAAAAAAGAAAACTGCTCACCGAGTCCAGGCAGACTTGTCGTAGGCCATGTGTGTAGGCAGATCGAGTAGTCGATCAGGGGAAAGGGCGGCGAGGCCTTCCCGGCGTTCGGCTGTGGAGGCTGAATGTTTTGCCTCTAGCTTCTTATCAAAAATTACAACGAAGATCCCGATCGACCGGCGTAGGGGAAGGCGATGTGGGAGGAGACCGATGGCTGCGTGATTTGGGAGGTCGCCCAGAAGCTGGCGTCGGCGATCTGGAGGCGGAAATCGGCGGCGGCACGATGACGACCTCAATGGCGATACGAGGCAGCGCGATGACAGGTCGCCGCCGGCGTCGCGAGTCGATCTAGTGGCGGAGATCGAAGGCGGCGTCGACGGCGTTGCGAGCCGCGGGCGACGATGGCGATCTCGAGGAGTAGTAGTCGCCGACGGAGGTGGGTGGGCAGCGCGCGTGGCAGGTGTGCAGAGGAGTCGGCGTCGGCGGCGGGGAGGAGAAGGAGTAGGAGTAGACCCGTCGGCGTGATCTGGAGCGGAGTCGACGGCGGCGGCGTTGGCGGCGGTTGCGGGTGGGCAGCGGCAGCGTCGCCGGCTGGGGCGATTGGGCGAGGTGAGGAGGCGACGTAGGGAGGAGGGCGAAGGACGCGGATCCGAGAGAGGAGCGAGCGTGGGGAGGAGATCGGTCGTTGGATACTTGGATATGCAAATTGGATGGTTGAGATTACGCGTGTCTATCAGATGCGTCTGCTATGTCAGGAATCAAGACCACCACTACGGATTTTTTAAGTAGTAGAGATATAGTTTAATTTGTTACAAACGTACATCACATTGCACTCTTAATTAGTGACCGATCTAGAATTTTTTTAGATCCTGAGTACAATATCTATTGGAATAAATGGGCTAGGCCCAATTTAATTCAATTAAAATCTCAAGAGCCCACAAGTAATGTTAGAGAGAATAATATTGCCTTGAAAATTTAGGTGGAAGAACCTCAACTTAAATATGGTGATATTAGAGATTCCCTGTTGACCGGTTGAGGTGATGGTTGGACTGCCACACGCATGCGCGCATGCCGAGTCGGCCATGGGCGTAGCGAGGTGAGGTGGCCGACCGAGCCGAGCCTGCCTGCTGCTCTTCGTTTTGTAACAGACGAGAATAAAGTCACCATTAACAAATGAAATTCATTGTGTTGTAACCTCCACAACAAATGAGAGATTCATTGTGTTGTAACATCCACAACAAATGAGATTTATTTGTTGTAACCTTCACAACAAATGAAAGATTCATTATTTGGTAACCTTCACAACAAATGAGATTTATTTTGTGGTAACCTTCACAACAAATGAGATTTATTTGTGTGGTAATGGAGATCTCTCTCTCTCTACATATAATGCAAGGCAGAGGCTCTCAAAGAGTGTGTCTTCCTCCTACTATTGTTCCTTGGCGATACTCTCCTTCTGTTCCTGCGCTGTCTCTTTGTTTCCCCGGTTCTGTTCATCCCGCATGCACGGGTGATTGGAACGAGCAGGTGCCTCCGAAACTCCGTCCGCTTGAGAACCTGCACGTGTAGGCGGACGATCAAGTTTTTGGGTAGCGCTTCAAGCGCGACTGCTCTGCATCATCTTCACCAACATGTCGACAACTGGTGACAACAACAACACTAGAGACAAGGAGAAGGAGCCTCTCGTCAACACCAACGGAGGCAATACTGCCTCAAACTCCAGCGGAGGGCCATTCTCGGGGTATAACGTTTCACTATTACTGTTCGTTCTTCGTTTCCTACATCTGTCTGTCGCAATATTATTGCGTTCTCTTATCTATGTTGATGCTTATTCTATATTAAGCATGCTCATGTTGTACACATCTAGCACTGTCACTAGATCTACTCAAATTACAAATGTCATGTTTATTGTCTTAATATTTTGGATTAAAATATGCCGAATTATGACCAAATTTCCAACAATATCTATGAATAATTATACACACGCACTAGCAGAGGACTGATCTTTCGATGTTGTACCCAAAATTATAAATATCTCAGTTAGATTAACCGGTACTAAAGATGTTTTAGTACCAGTTCTAAAAGTCCAAATCCCTATAAACATCTTAAGTTCCGGTTGATGTTATTAACTGGTACTAAAAATATATCTTTAGTACCGGTTGATAATACCAACCGAGACTAAAGATGGAGGATACCAACCTAAAAATACCTTTAGGTTAGTTCAAAAGAAAAGTATATATCTATTCAAGTCACGCATGATGGTGGAGGTGAGAGATATCGAGTTCGAATTTCATATCTCATATATATTTTTTTCACTTGCTATACATCTTTATTACTGATTCTCTCAACCGCTACTAAAGATCCGAAGGTGAGAAATATTGAGTTTGAATTTCACATCTCTTTTAAAAAAACTTAAATAAGTTTATATATTCAATTCTTTAAAATATTAATCATAAATTTTAAGTTGACAAATAATAACTCCATATAAAAATAAAGTAATCGATATAAACACATAATGGCATAGGCTCGCGAGCCAAAACAAGCGACTCGTGAGCCGGCTCGGCTCGGCTCATTTCAGCAACGAGCTGAAAAGGAGGCTTGGGCTTGGCTCGTTTGGTTTATGAGCCGAGCCAAGCCAACCAAGCTCAAGCCAAGCCCGAGCTGAGCTCACGAGCCCGAGCTTTTTTTCCACCCCTGCTTGCTATACATCTTTAGTACTGATTCTCTCAACCGGTACTTAAAGATCCGAAGGTGAGAAATATTAAGTTTGAATTTCACATCTCATAGTACCGATTCTCTCAACCGATACTTAAGATCCAAGTCCGATTTCAGAGTATGGTAATGGTGTGATCCACCGATGAGTGCCCGGCCGGGGTCATCGGGCCTTGGATCTATTGCAAAGCTTTGTATTAATTTGACGGCAGTTGATACGTACAGCAAGTTTCACTAGAGCAAAGTTTCTAAAACTAGTAGTTGATTCCCTGTGTTTTGCTGCGGAAATTCCTAAGTAATTTTTAATATTTTTTTAATAATTGAGCTAAAAGTAAAAATTGTATTAGCTATTAACAACAAATAAAACTGATTTGTCAGATTATGTTTGTAGAGAAATGCATTTAGTACACTCAGTATGAGATTGTAAATGAAATATGATATCCCGCACTTTGATTATATGGATGAATATATGCTAAGGATTATAAAAATGATGGATATATATACATGTTGAAAATAGTGTGAAAAATAATGTGAAGAAAGATGATTGGATGTTGATGGGTAGAATTCAATAAATTATAGATGATGTTGCATGCTTACATAAGTTTTGCATGTAGTTATTGCTAGTGGATGATGAGGTGGCATGTTTGCATTTTGAGTTTTAGTTAGAATTAGTGGGTTATAACTTTATAGTAAGACATGATATGTTTCCTATGCCCCTAAAATCTTAAAATATCTTGTTACGACGCTGCAAATTTTATCTGAATTTTTTCATTGCAAAGAAATCTTATTTGTAATTCAAGTTAACCTATAACTACTAATAACTACTATGTACTCCGTACTATATGTGGTATGGACTAAATGGGACTGTACGTATTTATAGATGGGCCAGAGTTAAAGGTAGGCTGGAACTAGATTGGGCCTCTATATATTTTATTGGGAGATAAGTTTACTTATCATACCTCATCTTTACGTCGAGTTTAATTAGCATCTTTAAATTGCAATAACAGAAATCTTCATCCCTCATCTTCGCAAAACCATCCAAATCACATTCTAAAACAGCGTGGGTGCCTGTTTTAGCTGACATGGCATCCTAGTAAGAAAAAAAAATATAGGACCCACATGTAAGTGGATTTCCACCTATAAACCTGGTTTACAGGCATATCTTGAAGTTAGTAGGAAACGGAAATTTGACATCTTAAACCTGGTTCTAGTAGTAGTAGATCCATATTTACATAACAAGAGAGTTTAGCCTCATGGCACATAGATCACCTGCATCATACAAATGTGCCACCAGCTACTTCCAGCTCAGTTCTTACTGCTACATAAAACACACATGCTTGCAGACGCCACATTTGCACATTACATATATAATACTACCACAGTCTACATATAATTTAACAGAGGAGGATGCCTGGAACTTAGCCCAGTAGAACAAACCGGTTATCGGCCTTGCCAATGACATGAACAGTCATGGTCGGTCGCCTTGCGCCTTTCATCAGCTCAAAGATGCAGACATTTCCCTCTCGCAGCCTGTTTTCGCGGATGAACTTGATCCATCGATGGCAGTTGAATCCCCTGGTTGTGTTTGAAAGGTAGTAGTATTTGACAGACCACTTCTGTTTTCTGTTTGGTCTTATCAGCAGGATGTCATGTGATTTTCTCTCAAGATGATCAGCTGCAAATCTAGTGGGGACGATCTGCATGGACAACATTAACTGGAGTCAGCTCAAAGAGTACTATTTGTCAAACATAAAGATTTTTTACATGAAAATTTCTTCGCTTTTATATGACGATCTAAGTTAGCGCGCAAAAAGTTGTATACGAGATTTTTGTTTTGATCATAACAGCTGAATAATTGGACTGACCAGGATGTTCCTGCGACGAACATGCGCCGTCTGCAGAACAACTACAAACACAGGATTGCCTGGTTGCAGGGATACCAAACTGAATATCTCATCTCGTTCCTCGCCAGTCAGGTAATTGGCAAACCTCGTGTAGTGGTAGTCAGCATGTTCATCATCATCAGTATTCTTTTCCTCAATCACATGCCAGTGGCTACAGTTTGGATCTTCAGGTTCCTTCCCTGTTGAAAATTCACAAATTTCCATAATCTTTATCTGTTAACAAAATGAATAAGTAGAACATATTTTTGGCTTCAGGCTTATTTCACAACATCAAATCCTCAAAAGAACATTCTAAAACACTGCTTACTTGGATTAGTCTTGGTCTTGCCACTCAATTTCTTTGAAGTAGAGGCCTTGTGAGGCGATCCAATTAGAACTGATGGTGTGCTAGTATCTTCAGAATCACTTGAAAGATATTGCCCAGCAACCTGACCGCCTATACTGTTGAAATTCTTGCACATGTAGCTGTTCTTTTTACCAGTGAAGAAGCAAGACACTTTCTCACAGCCACTTGCATCAAAGATTAGTACATCAAAGGAACAGCTGCCATTGCCATGGCCATTGCAAGTGAAGAACAGGAGGTCATTCTCCTGCAATTCATGAGCCTTGGCAAAATCCTCCCATCCTGATTTGAGGATCAGCTCATCAGCAACTTTTGCGACGCCGACACGCCATGTTTCGCCGCTGGGTGATTTCAGGTTGAACCCTTTGGTGATCTGGCCACTGAAAATCTCTGCAACCTTCTCAGGTATGCTCTGAAATGAAAACACAATTTTAAACTTTGTTGGATGATACTGCAATATGATTTTTTTTAGTTGGCCGGATGAATGCCGTGTCTAATTAGCAGGTACTGAAAGTCTGAAAACGGAATTGCAGAAAAACACTGATTCTTTCAGGATGATTATACTTTTCTGCAATGCCACTTTGACATACAAACTCTACTCTTAACATAGTAATATATGAAGCCCACACACTATATCCTACCAACACCATGGCTTATTTGCATATCTTCCTTTCAGTAATCACAAGTTTTAACAGCTTGAAATGACAAAAACCTGAAGAAAAGATACTTACAATGCCATGAGCAAAATCCCCTGTCATGAGCCTGAAGAAACGAATCCTGCTCACATCCATGTGCTCCCTGTAGTAGTGCTCCTGCCACTTTCTGCAACTCACACCCCTTCTCACCCATCACCTATACCTGCATCGCATTACATCTCAGATGATGCAAGGCATGAACACCTCAAGGAAGAGAGAAGACAGTTCTGGCCTTTCTCTTCTTGCATTCTCCGGTGAATGTGAAGCTGATAATCTCTTCTCCTTGATGTTAACGAGGGGGAGTGTTTTTATGAGGTGAGAGGGGTTGGTGCTGGTTAATGTGTGATTTGACATGAGCAGGTTGCTTATATCCACTGAGCTAGTGCTCATGGTCATTGCTCACTGACAAGTGGGGCCAACTTGGTATGTTCATTAGGATCGAGATTTCCAAGTCTTGGAGTGAGGTAAAGTTGGCAGTCAACCAGTAAGTGGAGTAAACAGTGAATGAGAGTTGATTACTTACGCTGAAAAGAATAACTAGTAAGATTTATTTCGAGAGGGAAAAAAAACTTTTTTTTCTCCTTGCAGTACCAAATTGTTGTCAAGATGTGTCAAAGAAACATCAAGTAAAATTAATATCACCCAAGCAAATATACTCTCAACAGAATAACTTGAGATTAACTAAATATTAAATATTAGCTTAATAATCTAGAATAGTCGTTACCTTAAGCTTCAAATCACCAGGCTCGGTCACTCGGACCAAGTTTCACCGTATGTGTACTATTGGATAAATTTTTTGCTCCCTCTATCTCAAAATAAATTACTTTATTTCTAAATAAATTATTTTCTATGTCATTTCCTGCACTCGATCCATAAATCAAGAAATTTTATTCTTCCAATACTTTTTACCTATCCATCATCTAATACTATTAGCTTTTCTACTAATAATGGGTACTTTAGTCTTGTACCTCCTAGGTAAGACGTTGTTCTTTTTACCTTATAAAAGGAGCTACTATCTCGTTTTTCATGGACATATTTTTTTTCTAAATATTTTATATATAGACGTTTCTTAAAATCATCAAATAAATTCATTTTTATGTTTGTAATAGTTAATACTCAATTGATCATGCGATAATAATTTCTTATTTCACACGCCACTAAAAATCCCATCCTACAGTGTTTCGACAGGGCCTAAAAATCTTCCTTGGGTGCTAGGAGATTTTCTTTAAAGGAATACTCCCTCCGTCTCATCTTAAATGCAGTTGCGGGTTTCTATGTCTAACGTTTGACTATCGTCTTATTTAGGCACTGGGCTAGAAATTGTAGTTGGGACTGCACCTGATCCCAATCCATATCTCGGTAATGATATATACTTATATAGGTTCATGAAAGTTCATCCTTCATAGCATTCAGACTGGATAAACTAGCTACAAGCATTACCATTTCTAACTCAAAAGCACTGCCATTAACTATTTACAAAAGGGCAACATCACCAACATCAAAAGATGGATCAGCAGAACTCAGATTTTCGGATGATATGGACCATCATCATGAGCTTCTTCTTGTTTTTCATGAGCTGGAAGAGGCAGATATCACCTAGTTTTATTTTGTTGTCATCGACAAATTTCCCCCATCCTCCACCAAGTTTATGAACTTTGTTATTGATCTTGAATACAGCCTTATACTTGTAGCTCTTATTGGGCAGTCGAAGCCTCATAATTTTGTTCTTCTCCCGTGGGAGATATTTGGCAGCATATTTTGCACTGAAGCACTGATTGCATATGGAAAATGTAAGTAGAAATACAAGCAAAATAGTAACAGAGATTGCATATGGAAAATGTAAGTAATAGTATAAGCAAAACAGTAGCAAGTATGACAGGAAACCAGTGAGAACTTTCTCCTCTATGATTTTCTGAATCAGCAGAGAATAAACTTGGCTTTTAACTTTATATTTATTTTTTACTTTGTAAAATAGCGATTCTAACTCACCATATATCTTGACCTGCCTCTAATGAAGCTTTCCCGCATGACAGCTACAAAAATGGGGATTTCGGATTGAATAGCTTGTACTTTGGCTTCCACTTTTATTTTAAGCTGACCAGATAGAGTGGTAAATCTTGACACAATGTAGTTAGGCTTACTAACTCCATGCCTAGGAAACTTGGTGGAAGGAACACATCCTGGAAAAAAAAACATTCACAAATTGGTCATTAGTCAGAAACTCAGAATGTGCTCCAAAGATTAATTAAATATCTCAAGGGTATTCCAAACACGAAATATATAACCTGGCGGTTTTGGGTGATGGCTCTGCTTCAAAGGATGAAATATCAATGCAACTCCCCTCTTGTTTTTTGATGCTTCGAATACGCAGATATCACCTTCTTGCAAATGATTGTTGCGAATGAAGTCCAACCAACCAGTTGAAAGGGCATACTGATCATCAGTGTCAATGTCCAAACTGATATCCCATGTCATGCTACGACCAGAATGACATAGTTTGATGGTCTCATTTTTGTCAAGAAGGTAACTGACAGCATAATCCTTCGAGATGGCCTATTCCAAATGATTCAGGACTATATCATTTTTTACAAGCTTTCATTAATCATTAGTACAGATGAATAATTCAAGACACAAGTTGCACTTATCAAACAGGTCCTAACGAACACAAATGTTTTAGAAAATTCAAATCAACAAAAATTTCACCTGCTGAGTACACAACATAAATTTAAAACATACCAGTAATCCGTCAGTCGCACTTGCTTTGTCCATGACTGTGATGTAAAATGGAATTTGAGGTTTAATTCTCTTCTCAAGAGCATCTACTTCAGCCTTTTGTGCACTGGTCATATTGCACATCCTTGGTAACGAATAGAAAGACTTGGTTGCCTTCTGGACGTTGGCCAAATCCACGGGTTCATCAAGTTCTTCAGAAGATGGGACCCTTTCAGCTATATTTGTAATTCCAACAATGTGAATTTTAGTACAAGGCAGTGCAGTTATTTAGAAATGTAAATAAAATATTTACTTGGTTTCCATGAAGGAGAGTTTGCTGGATTTATCTCTGAAGTTTCCTTACTGTGACCAGAGCTATCAACATACAGCTTAGCTGACTTTGCATTCCTTTTCAATTGAGTATGATTATTATGAGAGATGCTCCTTTGTTGTACACGAGGAAGCTGTTCCGTTATGATACAGGGTAATCCTTTCTCACAAGCACTTGGATCATAAATCCAGACTTTGAAGTGGGAGTTTCCACTGTATATGAACACCAAAATGTCACCCTTTTCAAGCTCATAAGCACTGGCAAATCTTTCCCATCCAGATCGGAGGACAAGATTGTTTAGTTCCTTGGCAACTTGAACTTCATATGTTTTACCATTGCGAGTTTCGAGTTTGACTGTTCCAGACATCTGCCCTCCGAAATTGCGTGCAAACTTCGCTGGTATAGTCTGCAGGAATAAAAGAATTATTTTTTGTGGATATATGAACCACAGATAATTTGCAGTAACGTCGAGAATGAAAATTGCAGTAATTTCCTTTCTTAAAATGGTGATGAAACACACAGGTACCGATAACAACTACTCAAAAGCAAATTTGAGTTTTGAATTTCTGTCTCCAATTTTAAGAATTAAGATCAGCACATTATCAAACTATAGAAGATACATATTTGACTACACGAATAGCATAACTGGCAGTCTTACCACTCCATTTTTGAAATCAGTAATCATAACCTTGATGAAACTCTTTCCGTGATTGTCCATGTGGAGCCAATAATGATTTGCAACACAATTCTTGCAGACTCTGTGAGATTTTTCCATCCTGTGGCCACTCCAACCATGTAAATTGAGATGAACTTGTTAGAGAGTTTAAAAATCTATGCAGTTGCTCGCCACAGATACCATCATACCAACAGGCAATATTTCGTGTATAACGGTATACATGAAAGTGTGTGGGAAACAACCCTAAAAGTTTTGTAATTCACCAATTTATGACAGTTAGTAGGTAACAAAGTATAGAGCAAATATGGCATACTAAAGAACTCCCCAAATGCTATTTGAATCACAAAAAGTGTCTCGTTCAACAGAGTTGGCACAAGCCGACTCCATTGATTAAAAGCGCGCCAATGCATAGTTTGGCTGTTCATTTATCAAAGAAAAATCTCATTCATGAATACATAATTATCCAAAACAATTTATCAATACATATCTTGGATAAATGTTCACGTATCAATACCTAGCTTGGTTGTATCAACACATAACTTGGCTGTACTTTTAAATTAAAAGAAGCCCCCCTAAATAATTCACCAAGACAGTAGGAGGTTAAGCATTTAGGGGCTCATGCATCTTTGGATAGTCCTCATTTGCATGATCCAAAGATCAAAACAGAAAGAAAAATGATAGGAGACATACCTTTGCCGATCTGCTCTAAGAGCTAATTTTCCATGTTTCAGCAGAGCTGAAGAAGCCAGCCACAATGCAACCATGTCCAAGCACCGGCAATAGATATAGACCTGACAGGGCATCAACCAATCATGATGTGCTTTGCCATGTGACACTCTCTGACCAATGGCTGACAGCATATATCCATTGTTGAAAAAAGCCTGACCTAGAAATCCATTCTGATAGTAGTAGATGCCAAGAGAAGCATAACATTATTACTACTGGGAACTTTTGTCTTTTGAGTAGCAACTGCAAAGAATCTACTGACATAACTGGTAGTATCATTTCTTCTTTTTTTCAGCAAGTCTGAGATAAGAAAGGGCAGCCAGCAATGTTTGAAGAATGTTGTAGTAGATTTTTGTTAGTATCTTGTGGCACAGCTAACAACTGGATATTACATGTCAAGGTTTATTTTTGTCAATTTAAAATCCATTGTGAAGAAAACGAGTAGAACTGATCAACAAGGGAAAGGAAAGCAACAGGCTTCAACACTAGTCCAGTGAAGACACTGATACTGCACTGCATTGGTATCCTCGACAAGATCTTTCTGCATCTCTGGTTGATGAGAATCAGCCAGGAGCCCAGGACCTTTCTGCCACAGGCATCAAGTATGATTCTTGTCCAACAGAAGTAAAAACAGTTCTAGATTGGAATATTTGAATAAGAAATACATTTGGAGTTTTGGATCAGTACAAACCCCTGGGTAACCAAAAGGTTGCATTATTCAGCTCAAATTTCTAGTTAGTTATCTTCATCTGATTCATCAAGTTTCCACAAGCATAATTGCATGCTGTTGCATACTTTCTGTATCATTGATACACAACATCATTACTGAAGAAACTAGTGTTATAGACCAATGCTAGGGCAGACACAGATTTCAGGAGTACATTAAACAAAGACGAATAAATGTGCTCACAGAAATAGAAACAGTTTGATGATGCTTCTTCAGATCAAAGTTATTGAGGCACTCAATTTCCAGATCATCATCCTGGCAGAAAAACTTGAACATAAAAAGGGAGCAGATGACAAGAAAGGTTAAGTTGCACAACACCACACTGAAACTGAGACTATAGACGACTATTGTTGACACAAGATAAATACAGATACTTGCTAAAATTTTAAACCCAACTGGGCAGTTCTAGTTCTAAAAGACATAAACAGGTTGAACCTAATAGAATAAAATACCAGTTTTAAATTGCACAAAACCACCTTTTCAGTCTAGCAACCTCAGCTGCAATAGTGAAGTTGCAAGCCCATTGATCAGGTATCATTACCTAAGAGTAATAAATAATAAGTTTATTCTGAACTTCATATACGATTCCTAAGTGTCCACTTTAGTGTTTCTTGAAATAGTCAGAATTCAGAATAAATTAAAGCGAATAAAATTCACACATCCAAACTGGCCAGGAAGCAACATCATAACCATTTACTGTAAGTTCTTAAAACTAGAAGGTTCGGCACATTAATAGTTTGTTGCAGGTAATTCGAAAGAGAGGGAACACCAGTACCCTATCCACAAGCATGGCGTTTCTAGTACAAAAGCACCACCTTTATTACAAAACACCCAGAGCAGCAGCAACATATGGATCAACTGCACTCGCCTTTTCGAATGATATGGACGGTCATTGTAAGCTTTTTCTTGTTTTTCATAAGCTGGAAGAGGCAGATATCATGTATTTCTAATTTGTTATCGTTGACAAATTTCCCCCAGCCTTTGAGAAGCTTGTGAAGATTGGTGCTTGTGTCGATATGTAACGCAGCTTTGCACTTATATTTCGTCTCCGGCAGCCGCAGCCTCATATTTTGGTCTTTATGTGGGAGATACTTTGAAGCGTATTTCACGCTGAAGCACTGAATATATGGAAAATGTAAGTTTCCCTGATAATATGAGTAAAGGAAAAGGTTGCGAATTTTGCTGCCCATTTCATGCATGATTTTAAATGTTCCAACTTGCAAATCAACAGGAATAAAATTTCAAACAAATTCAATGATAACTCACCAGAGAACTTTGACGGGTACAGTTGGAACTGCGCATGACAGACAAGAAAATGGGGATATCAGACTGTATAGATTTTATTTTGTTTTTAACCTTCCTCTCTTGTTGATCAGTTAGATTAGTAAGATTTGTTGCAAAATAGTCCCGCTTAGGAACTCTACGTGTAGGACTCTTGGTGGAAAGGGTATATTCTGCAGAGAAGACCCAATCAAAAACATGGACGTCAGTCAGAAATGTGTTGTCAACAGAAAAAAAAAAGAGAAAGAGATGCGCTCATAGAAAATAAAATCTAGGCTATTCCAAATGCTATATAGATAACCTGATGACTTTGGGCAATGACTTTCTTTGAAAGGATGAAATGTTAATGCCACTCCTCTCTTGCTCTTTGAAGCTTCAAATACACAGATGTCACCTTCTTGCAACAGATTGCAGCGAAAGAAGTCCAACCAGCCAGTAGAGAGGGCATATAGATCATCAGTGTCCATGTCCAAACTGATGTCCCATGTCTTGCTACCACCAGATTGACATAGTTTGATGGTCCTATTTTGGTCAAGAAGATATCTGACAGCATAATCCTTACAGAAGACCTATACAAATGATCAGGAATATATTATTTTACAAGCTTTCATTAGTATATTTGAAGGACTCAAGACTCAACTAACACTAATCAAGTCCTAAACGTAACCTGAGTTTTTCTCTCTTTTTTTTCTTGACTAGAGCAGAACACCAAAATTTAGCAAAGTTCAAACTAGCAAAAAGTTGCACCATACCGAATACAAAAAAAATAAAAAACATACCAGTGATCCACTTGCCACACTTGTCTTGTCCATAGCTGTGATGTACAGTGGAATTTGAGGTTGAATTTTCTTCTCAAGAGCGAGAACTTCTGACTCTTGTGCACTAGTCATATTGTACAACATTGGTAAGACATAGCAAGACTTTTTTGACTTCTGGAGGCCACCTGAACTCATGGGATCCTTAATGTCTTCAGAAGATGGGACGTCTGCAGTACACCAACTATGTAAATTTTGGTACACATAGGCAATGTAAGCAATGTTGCAAATGTAGATTGTACACTTCAAATGTTTACCTGGTCTCTGTCAAGGATAGTCTGCTGGATTCATCCTTGACCGTTTCCTACTAGAGCAAAGACTATAATTCTTTCCCAAGATTTCACTCCTTGGTGATTGCAAATGATTATCATGAGAAATGCTCCTCTCATGCACATGACTAGTGTTGTCCGTCACAACACAGGAGAACTCTTTCTCGGTACAACTTGGATCAAATATTAGAACTTTGAAGTGGGAGTGCCCACTATGTATGAACACCAAGAGATCACCATGTTTAAGTTGGTAAGTACTGGAAAAATTTGCCCATCCAGATCGAAGGACCAGCTCATCCTGTTCCTCAGTAACTTGAACGTTATACATTACCATCTGACACTTCTAGTCTGACTTGTTCAGGTATCTTCCCTCTGACATTGGCCGCAAACTTTTTCGGTATAGCCTATGGTAATAAACAAAAGAGAGCTTTTATACAAGTCCCTGTAAACACAATCAATTCTAATGGGCCCACTGTCCTTGTTATCAAAAAAGAAGGGTTCGCCATCATGCCTAAAGTTCCTTCTTTTATATATATAGGAAAAAAACAGGCCTGTGCTACTAGTTTCACTAGAAAACCAAGTGCCTGCATGCTTTCTATTGTCAAATATCGAAATAGATATGGTTATTCTGACATGCTTTGTGCATTGATGAATTTTAATCAAGCATGGTTATCAGTAATCAAAACTGACTGTCGTACTCCCAACCTCAAGGAATCAAGGTCACCAACTTTTCCAAAATAAGCAATCTAAAATATAAATTTTGTGTACAAGAACAGAATAATAGATGTGATCTTACCAGTTCATCCTTGATATCACTCACACTCATCATAACCTTAAAGAAATATCTTTCCCTGTCATCCATATGGAGCCAATAATGATTTGTAATGCAGTCCATGCATGTTGTGCTAGGCTTGTTCATCCTGTATCCACATTTACAATGCTTATTATGATGAAATTCTTCGTGAACATCGGAAAAAAGTCCATAAGCATATGCATGCACGCGTCACCCTCACATAGTTAACACATTGAAAGCTTTTTTTACAGAGAGAACAACACTGAGAAGTTCAATATGAATAACCAAATTGTGATTATAGCAGTACATAAACAAGTACTGAGGCAAAGATAAATAACACTTCAAAATAAACTTCAGCAATGTTGGGAATTTATAATGGTACATATAGAAATAAGAAAATGATGAGCAGACAAAAATATGCTTCTAAGAATGCACAATAGGTAACTAAATCTACCCCTTCAACATTTATACCAACCTTTCCCTTCTGGGTGATTGTCGATGGTTATCATCAGAGATGCTCCTGTTCATCACAACACAGGATAACTCTTTCTCACAATTACTTGGATTAAATATCTGAACTTTGAAGTGGGAGTTCCCACTGTAACCAAAAGCCAAGATATCACCCTGTTCGAGTTCATAAGCAATGGCAAACACCTCCCATCCAGATCGAAATACTAACTCATTATGTTCCTTAGATATCTCAACATCATATGTTTTGCCATCTGGAACTTCTAGTTTGGCTACTCCAGAAATCAGACCTTGGACATTCTTTGCAAACATTTTCAGTATGGTCTGTAGGAACAAAAAAAATGAAACATTCCGTTTACATAAGAACACAACCTACAGAAGAAATGAAGAATGCTGTACAGACATAATTTGTGAGCAGGACTGAAGTCCACTTTGTTCTTAGGAACAAATCAAAGCCTCATGAAACAGGGGAAAAAAGAAGAAGGATTCTACCTTCTTTTTTTTCCTTTTTTTTTTTTGCGGGGAAGAAGGATTCTACCTTCAAAGTGTCATTCTCTATCTTTAGAATAAACATACACCGTGTCCTGTTTTATCATTTTTTTTCCCTTTTTTGGTTCAACCAGTCTGTGCTGCTGAATTCAGTAGCTAAGAGTTTACATGATTTTTGTTTCTCAGACTACTTGTCAAATGCTAAATGTTGATGGCTCAGTGAAGCTATGGCTAATGATGGCTTTGCAAGGCGCTTCGGGTTTGTCCAGGAGCACCGGAGGCAGAACTGTTGCATGTTGGGAGGATCTGAAACTAGCAAGCTAGTGGAGTCTACTCCAGATAATTCTTGAAACGGACTGTGAGGTGGCAGCGATATATTGAAGAATGAAGAGCTGCAAGAGCAAGGACAGGGAACAGTCGTATCTATTGTTCCTGAATACTGGAACATGAGGATTGCTATCTGGAGGAACGACAATTAAAATTCAGAGGATTACTTGATGATCAAAATAGAGTAAGTCATGAACTTGCTAATGTGGGTCATGTGGGGGCTTTAGATAGCCTTTTGGTTTGGTCATGTAAGCACAGGCGTATCCTAATCCATCAAGAATTAATGTATGGGTTCTATTTCTGATTAATGCAACTTCTTCCTAGCAAAAAAAAAAAAGTTTTAGAACTATCAGATTACCAAATTGCTAACCCAGTTTCTCAAATTCCCCAAAATGAATATCATAACAAGTATATAAGATATATCTTGGTGCTCATTAACAGCGTAAATGACAAGGCCTAACCAGTTCTTTTTGGAAATCACCCACATCCATCATAACAACGAAGAAACGCCTTTTATTCATGTTGTGCCAATAACAACTTGCAGTACACTCCATGCATACTGTATGAGACATGCTCCTGCTGTGAAAAGACTTTGTTAATTGAGATGATTTTTTTAAGAGAGACTCTTAATCAAATCCATCCACAGCTGTGTACACATAACCAATGGTTATCATGAAATAATGAAATAAGTGGAGGCATGCAACTATGTGGCAAGTTGCACTCAAAAATACTACTACCTCCATTTCAGGTTATAAGACTTTCTAGTGTTGCTCACATTCATATATATGTTAATAAATTCATTAACATATAGAAAGTCTTATAACCTGAAACGGGGGAAGTACCTCCTTCTCCAAATGTTTGACAATGGTTGGTTCAATTTTGAGCTAACCAACGTCAAACAAAAAAGAATGGAGGGAGTAGTATTTTTGCTAATTTATAATTGTAGATAGTTAAGTATATGACATAATAGAGTTCCACAGAATGTTGCTTCCTGGAAAACAAAATGCTTTTCACCAACCTTTCACTTGGTGATTGCAAATGGTTGTCATGATAAGACATGCTCCCTTCATGGCCACAAGGAGTGTTGTTCATCATGACACAGGATAACTCTTTCTCACAACCACTTGGATTGAAGATTCGAACTTTGAAGCGAGAGCTCCCACTGTATGCGAACACTAATATATCACACTGTTTGAGCTCATAATCTCTAGCAAATGCCCCCCATCCAGATCGAAGGACCAGCTCGTTATGTTCCTTGGCAACCTGAACATCATATGTTTTACCATTTGGCACCTCTAGCTTGACTACTTCAGATATCTGCCCTCTGATAAAGTTTGCAAATTTTGTTGGTACTGCCTGCAGGAATAGACAAATAAGACCAACATCCAATTTAGAGTGCACCTCATGGCTCATGAAGGCCATTAGGACAGAAAGGTATGATCATCCAAGTATCAAGGGAAAAACAGTTACTAGGTCATACCACAAAATCACCAATCATAACATTGATGAAACTCCTTTTTTGATCACCCATGTGGTTCCACTAATGGTAAAAAATACATTCCTTGCATGTTGTGAAAGATTTTCTCATCATGTGATTGTTCCTGCAATGTTTCATAAGATGAAGTTGTTACAGAAACATCAAACGATAACCCTTATGTGCAAGCTTAGCAAGTAACAGGCAGAAATAACAAAGATGATAATCTAATCCAAGATGTCAAGATGGTGTATAACAAAGTTTGTACTTCCGTATATAGTGGAAACGAATTTGCAGAAGTTCTTTACAATGATCGGATCCCTAAATTCGTATCTAGGATTGCATTCCAAGTTATTAACCTTTTTTAGTATTTTTGCACTAGTTTCAAGAACTAAAGTGGTTGCCTGAGCATGAACTTCATATCCCCTGTCATTTGCAATGGTAAGTAGGCAAAAACTATGTAGCTATATGGCACAAGTCGATCTACAAAAGTTTCCAAGTTAATGTCAAACTCAACTAGAAAGAAAGAAAACCTAACGGTATCTGATCTTCCAACCTACGATAGCCTCAACTTGTGTTTTTGTGGATTAAGATTAAACAAATCGAAAGGGTCTGAAAGTTATATGCATTTCAAATAAAGTTAGAAGTACTAATGTACTATCATTCAAATCATAAGCTATCTCAGAAGAGAATGCATATTTCCGAGTTTGCATGAATCATGTGTTGAGAAAACAGCAAGTTGTCCACTAGGATGCAAGCATGCATGCTGTTGGATAAGTCTTTGTGGTCCTTGGTCGTGATTCTTCTTTTTGCTTTTGGGTAGTTTCACCTTTTTCAGGACAGCATCTACCCTTTAGCATATTTTTCAGTTGCTAGGACAGCTGCGGTTAGTAGGACAGCAGCAGTTAGCATCTCCTTTATGCCTCCTTTATGCTTTATTCAGTTTGGATGGCCTCTAGGACAGCATCCCATTCAAATTTCGAATTTTAGACTAGGAGGGTGCAGCAATAGGCTAGCAGCCAGCTATGGCTATATATATGTATCCAACCTCCCTCGGGTATGTATGGCTTTTGTGTTTAGTGAATGAAGAAAACCAGAAAATTGCCCCATCTCGAGTGCCATCCTCTTCTCAATGAGAGTAACCATTGAAATTCTAACATCTGGTATCAGAGCCACACTTTCCTGTAGGCTAAACATCTCTTGTTCCACCCCCTCCCAAGCTCGGTTGAGCTCTCAGCCAGCAGCAGCAACAGCACCGGTTGCTCCTCCTTCCCCTTTCCCTTCCCCCTCTCCACGCAGCAGCCCCCCAGAGGTGCGCCATGTCCGACGCTCGGTCTCGGCGTTCGGTCGCCTCGAGCACTCGGCGTCAGCAGGACGCCGAGCTCGCCGCAGCAGAAGAGCGCAGGCGAGCAACGGCTCAGACCGCTGCAGCAGCAGCGAGGGCGGCCAGACTGGCGGCAGCG